AATAATAATAATAATAATAATAATAATAATAATAATAATAATAATAATTATTATTATTATTATTATTATTATTATTATTATTCTTATTATTATTGCCGGCATTTAGTGAAAGATAAAGATCACACATCATTTTTTACTAAATATGTAGTGACTAATTTTTTTATAATTAAGAATTAAAATTAAATGTTGATATTTTTAAACATAAGAAAACATATTTAAATTGAAAAGAAGTTTGTTCTAATTAGCGAAAACCTTTTTGAAGATTTTCTATGACTAGTTCATTTGAGTGTGTGTTGTGTTCTATCTTCCGTTTGGGATGTCATGAGATAAACTCGTGTAGATGGTTAGTCTTCTCATATCATGGGAAAGAAGCCCTTCATGGGATTGTGATTTTCTACCTTGGTCTCTAACTGTGGAAGAGTACACATGACAGAGCACTCAATCTAGGACCAAGTTTTGGACATGCATTCTTCACCATGCACCGAGGAAAACTCAACCCAATTTTAGAATGCATGTGATGTATGAAAAAATACACAATCCTTCAATTTTCAGATTAAAAGGAAAATTTTAGTACTTTTATCATTTACTATTCTAAAATTCATGGGTACTAAAACCAGAATAGGTTAGTAATCATTTATTTGTTCAATATTTTTACAATTTAAAATAGCATTTTTACGTCAGTTCAAAATTACCTGATGTATAAAAGCTCTTTTCACATCGATTTCAAACATAGCGAATGTAAAATGAGTTTTTTATAACATCCTTGTTGGTGGTGGTAATTAGGGTGGTTTAGTTAAGGCAATGACGGCTTTTGGAAGAGTGATTTCAACCAAATTTGGAAGTGCAAGTGCAGAGTCCGAGAAGGTGATCAGCTTCATGGTCTGAGGAGAAGAAAAAATAGTTGGGGTCATGGAAGGGTTCAAGGGAGAGGCTCGACCATGGAAGCTGGCACATCGTGTTGGAATCAAATGCAGTTTTCTACATTAGTTGAAATTATAACATATGTAAAAATTGTATTTTATGTCGGTTTAATGACCACTGTAAAATGTTCTCCTATTATATATCAATGGGATTAAAAAATTAATTATAAAACTAATTTAAAATATTCATGATATTAGATGTCCTCGTGTAATAGTAAATCACTTTGACTATAATTTACTAGTGGAATTAGTGATTTAAATGACTATACCGAACTTAACAATATTGTTTTTTTTAAAGAATAACTTAATAATACAAGCCTGAAGTCTCACTCTTTATTTAGTATTTTAGTGGATTCAAATGAATTATTTATCCGATAATACAAAAAAAATGTATTAGAAAATATATAAATGTATATTACAAATATTTATCAATAAAATAACATAAATACTAATTGTAACAGTTGAACACCATTAAAGATCACAGTCTATAGCTAGTCATGAATAATGTAGTTTCAAACTTTCATAGTTAAGGGCAGAGCAAAGAAAGGATATGGAGGGGAGGCCAAATGAAATACCACCGATGCATAAGAGATTGAGGAGACTGAAGTTGGAGGTGATCAGAAATTTTTAGTCTTTGATTTTCAATGCCCTCCAAAGTCAAGGGGAATGCTAATGTACTCCCACCTATTTTTTAGTGGGAGTATGTTAGCAACCTACACCAATTTTTTAGGACAAAAAAACCACTCATTTATTTTGATTTGGTTAATTCGTACAAAGGATATTATAGTAATTTAATTTAATTTTAAATGAAAATAAAAATATTTTCTCTCTCTTATTAATTTCATTCTCCAATTCATTTATTTTTTCTATTAATAAATTTTTATTTGTTCAGAGAGAGAGGAGGGAGACATCATGAGAGACGAAAGAGAAATGAGTTAAAGAAAGAATTTAATAGGAGAAAGATAAATAAGTTAGAGAAAGAATTTAATAAGAAAGAGAAATGAGTTGGAGAAGAAATTTAATAAGAGAGAGAAATGATTTAGAGAATGAAATTAATAAGAGAGAGAAAATATTTTGTTTTCATTTAAAATTAAATCAAATTACTATAATATCCTTTATACGAATTAACCAAATCAAAATAAATGAGTGATTTTTTTGTCCTAAAAAATTGGTGTAAGTTGCTAACATACTCCCACTAAAAAATAGGTGGGAGTACATTAGCATTCCCCTATATATATATATTAAAATCTGTTTCCTCGTCCATTTCCCTCCAACTATTAAGTTAATGATACTTTTCTTTTTAATTTATGCTGTATATATGTTCAACCATCCTTTTTGCTTTTCCCATTGCATTCAAGTTCTTCACATTGGAAAAAGTTCAGAAATCTTTTCCATTTTCTCAGTGATGCATATATAAATCCATTGATATGCTACTATGCAATATAATGACCAGATTTTTCTTGAGGGTTGGAGTACACTTGATAATAATAATCTTTTTGGTCGACGATTGTTTCCTTTTTTGCCCTTCACAATATATCTGTATATTATTATTGCGGCATTTCCTTTTGTACAAGTTTTGTTTAGAGAGTACCAAAACTCTATGTGACTAGGACCACATAAATGATGACATGTGTTAATTTTGTCAGAGATTATATTTTTTAAGAATATTTTAATATTTTCTATTTAGCCCTAATTAATTTATAACCTTTTAAATAATAGTCCCGGGCCTATTTAAATATGCTTTATCTTCTTCACCTTCCTACCCGTTTTATTTTCATTTTTCCTCTTCTCTCTGGCGCATCTCTGGCTCCGGCACCGGCACCATCGCCGCCAACTTCACCTCTCTCAACATCTCCATCCGTAGCTCCAGCTCCACCATGTCGGTGCCGTCGCACTATTTTCGCGGGAATTACTTCAACCCTAGCACGTTCTCCACCTCTATTGCTGTCGCCGTCGCCGCGGTGGCGCAACTGAGAAACCTCGCGGAGTGGGACCGGAACATGAGCATGGTGATGGAGTATTCTCGTAGGAGCATGTTGGAGAACAGTTCTTCCATCTCCGCGATTTTGAATTTCAACCCTATGGGCAACGTCAATGTAATTCAACAAGTGAAGCAGGAGCTCCGGGAAGAATCCGGTGGCGACGGTGGTCTTGAATCGGTGGCTTCGGATTCCGATGGAGGCTTAGGGAGAAAGGAAAAATGAAAATGAAACAGGTAGGGAGATAAAGAAGATAAAACATATTTAAATAAGCTGAGGACTATTATTTAAAAGGTTATAAATTAATGAGGGTTAAATAGCAAATATTAAAATATTCTTAAAAAATATAAGTTCTGACAAAATTAACACATGTCATCGTTTATGTGATCCTAATCCCAGAGGATTTTGGTACCCCTAAACAAAACTTGTACCAAAGAAAATGCCTATTATTGCACACATTATTCTAAGCATAAAAGTGAAGGTTCTAGTTAGGCTAAAATAATCGAGTACCAAATCATACAATCAAGATCACATGCAGCAGAATAAGAGGTGAATATCAAAAGAGACAAATATAAAATTGAAGTTCAAATTATTAATCTACAAAAGATTATGAACCCCAATATATTTAGATGAACACGAACATTTTCGCCCACGGTCCACCCAAGAGCTAGACCCACAGAGTTAAAAACTATTTGACATATATACAACATTTAAATATATAATATACAAATCACATAATTAGTCAAATCAAGTGACATAATTAGTGGTGAGAAAATTGACACAATAACACGCAACAATATTATAAAAGTAATGTTATATACTCCGAATTTATTATCCGAAATGTTTTCGAAACACATAAAAGATTCAAATCAGGAAACTCACATTTGACTTTTCAAAAAAATTTATGAAGGATATTTCGAAATTTAAATTCGAAGCATTAGCATTTTTGACATTATAAATACTCGAGGATGCCCGAACTTGTCATATCATCCCACACTTGCATTCCTATAATCTTTGCTAATTAGTTGAATATCCTATACATCATTCTCTCTTAGTTATTTTGTCTTCTTACTTCTCTAATCTCTAGTCATGGCTATATTTCAGGCCACGAGAAAATTTCTAATAAGTTTACTAGCACTAGTTGCCTTCAACGGTTCCCTTTTAACTCATGGGAGGCAAATAAAACCATTGAACCAACATTCCTCGTTAAACAAAGGCACTGTAGTGCCAGAGAATAATCCCTTCCCACCTCATATTAATGTTCCTACTCCATCATCAGAGAAGAAGAAAGTTGACTCATTCGTGATGCCAAAACAAGGTGTTGAAGGTTTTGGAGACACAAATGCTTTCCGACCCACTACACCAGGAAACAGTCCTGGTGTTGGTCACAGAAAATTTGCTCAGGAAGATAATGATATGAAAGCAAAGGTGGTGGTAGTTCACAGTCCTGATGTTAAGGTTCATGTCATCGAGGATACAGAAAATGGTTTCAAACCTACGAACCCTGGTCACAGTCCCGGTGTTGGTCATTCTCAGCAGAACAAAATTGGACAGTTAAATTAGCCATGTAAATAAGCAATTGATTCCTTATATATATATAGGCCCCAAAACTATATTGCATCTGCCTGTGTACGTATAAATAATGTCCTCACTTTCATTCCATAGTTCGGATTCTGATCAATTCATGCATTGAATGCATGCCAATAAAGTTCGGATTCTGAATTCATGCATTGCATGGATGCCAATCTTCAAATCATGCTGTAGCATGAACTTGGCTTTTTTTTTTTATCATTGATTGGAGACAGCAGACTGCCATATCGTTCAAAATGTTAGTTAGCATTTGCTCCATTTACAATTGTCGGGTTATTGTGTGACTCAAATTGCAAATTAATAAAACTGTTATTTATAGAAACGATCTCTTCTGTTCTAGACACAAATGTTGGCCAGTACCTGCACTTAAGTCACTAAGAAAACCTAAATTAATCCGGAAAGTATTGTTAGACAGTAAAATACTATATTGGGGTATTTAATATTTTTTTTACTAATTAAAGTATTAACAAGGTGTATAAATATTTTTAGTTAATGCCTTGGACATTCATCATTTATTTGATTCTTAGGTGGTGTATTGGTTTAGGATTTTATAAGATTTTAAAAGATTTTTTTTGGGTAAAAAAGTCCGTTGGTATTCAATCAGGATTTTATGTCACTTAAAAATAATCTAGTGACATTCAATCTGGTTTTAAGAGTTCATTAAAATCTATTAGTATTCCTTTGAGACTTTTTACAACTTAAAAATAATCCATTGATGTTAAAAAATATAAGAATTTTAAAGGAATGTTGTATTAAAGAGATTTTGAAAGACTTTTTAGTAATATCTATAAATACCAAATTCATAAAGTAATCTTATCTAGACCCATCAGATTTTGGAGGATTGTTTGAAATAACTTTTTATTTATTTATTTTTTCTATGCTCATATCTTCTTCATTTTTTTAAAATACTATATTTCTGTCTACTAGTAATATTCCTTCTAACATTATTAATTAGGCTTAAAAAAATTTAGATTTGGCGGTTTTTAATGTAGGGAATAGGAAGTGTCCTTCGTAGAATAAAATGTACTTATAATTAATTATTAATTATAAAATTAATGATTAAGAATATAATAAAATTAAATTAATATAAAATTAATTATAATATTAATTCTTAATTTTTTAATTAACAATTATTATTATACTTTATTTTTTAAACTCAATTCCTTTATTTTAGAAGATTTAGATTAAAAACAAACTCATACTACCAAGTTTATCACTATTTAATTTTGTGTTTGTTTGGAGTAATAGTAACAATCTCAGCACGAGAAAAAGGTCTATTTGCAACCAAAAACAATTAATCTGTAATTGCAACTGAGAAAGTTTGTTACCTGCGGAAGCTTTTAAAATTTAACAACTAGAACATATTTTTTAGTCATTAAATATGCAGAGAAACAAATGATCGCTAAGTCAGTTTAGCTCTACACTAAAATTTGAGAATCAAAATAAATTGAATTTTAAGCCATTAACATATTTCGATCGCTAAATTGAAATTAAACATTATTTTGAACAGATTTAACTATCGGTTTGTGACTTTGCACGAATTCAAATAAATTGTAATCTAATCTGTGACCAACAGATTCAGTCTAAACTAATTTTACCCTAAATTACTCTGCACTTTTTTCTTCTCCATATTTCATTCTTTCCCTCTATTTCTCGTGACATCTCTATGATATTCTCCCATTTACCTTTGGTACACCCATACAACACCACATCTCTGGAGCTACTGTCACCGTATACCATGTCATTTTCTTGTGTAGGAGGCTGCACAGTTTGGGTGAAAATAATTTTATTACTACATGAGGGCTTTGTATTGTTCTTGTATCACATTTTCCGGGTCTCCGTCTAGGATTGGTGTCTTGTAATAATCACTTGATGCCAATGATTAGCACTCCTTATGTTGGGCTTGGTACCTAATATATTCGGTTTTTTGTTTTTTTTTTTCTACTTAAAAGCATGGTGTGAATGCCAAGTGTCAAGATCTTTGAATAAATAAATATACAAGTTGGTATATTATTATATTTGTGGTTTGTGTTTTGATATTAGAATTATATATGCTATTCTACGTTTTGATAGGATTGATCCTAATAGTCATATAGTTTTAGGACAAAAGTGCTAGTATTTTTTTTTGTTTTAGTTATAGAACTTAGTACATAAGTTCAAAGTTTGCTATTATGTATGCAAATACAAGTGTGGTATAATTACAACTTAAAGTGATTGGTGTTGTTGTGTCACTTTTTAGTTAAGCATGTTTAGATACAAAATACTGGGATCACTACAAGAAAAATGTATATTATCGACGAATAATTTTTTACATATATAAATCCGTCGAAAAATTTATATTTTCGACGGATTTTAGCGATGGAAAAAAAATTCGTAGGAAAACTTATATTATCGACAGATAATTTTCAAGGATACAAATTTGTTGAAAAATTTATATTTTTGATGGATACAATTCTGTCAAAAAATTTATATTTATGACGGATATATCTGCAGGTAATTTTCAACAGATATAAATCTATCAAAAAATTTATATTTTTGATAAAAAAAAAATTGTAGAAAAAATTATATTACTGATGGAATATTTTCGACAAATTTATATTTGTCAAAAATATAAGAATTTTTGATGAAAATTGACAATCATATATTAAAATAGATCATCAATAAAATTATATATATATATATATATATATATATA